GTCTGGAGAGCATTAGGCCAACTTATAACGACCATCACGAAATGGAAGCCAAAAAAATGTCGACCGAAAGGAAGGCCTAGAAAACGATGAGAGGACCGAGTCAAGGAAGACTTCTGAATGCTAGGAGAACGGAACGGAGAAGAACTGGCAGAACAAAGAGAAGCATGGAAGGAGATAGTGGAAGCGGCTATGGGCCTAAATGACCTGGATTAAGCCTTAAAAAAAAAGAAATTGTATTAAAATTACGAATGTTCATTAACTATTTATATATTTTAAACTGTAATATTTAATATAACTTTCTCTACTGTGTACTTATTTATATATAGTTAAGTATAATTTTTTTAATTTGTAATATAAAAACAAGTATTTTATTTATTTTTAGTGATATTTAAAGCCAATTAAAAAAAAAAAAGTTAAATTATTAGTGAATCAAAATCAAAATCGCTTATTTTATATATGCTATATCAAATTTTTATGTAGAAAACTTCATCACTCTAAAAATTTTTAGTGGTATTGAATTGTAGTTTAATAATAAGTTTTTTCATATATCTTATAAAAATACAATTATTTATCAGATGCGATATTTTTACATGGAATAGTAAGAAACATTTTTCAAAATACACATTTTACTTTTTTTAAATTATTGAAAATCTCAAGATTATTAACAACTCAAAAATTTTATATTTTTGCAATAAAAGCTTATAAAATATTTATATTGAAGTTGTCATAGAAATATAAGTACACGTTGAAATGTATTGAATAAGGTAAACAACTAATGTATAATTTTATTTGCTTTCCTGGAAGATGTTGGAAATATTATATCAAATTCGAACAGTAGCCTGGAAATGACAAAAATTATTGAAAGAGTAAAGGTCATTCTATATCCAACACAAATGTACTAGATTTTCTGTTGCCTTTTCCGTTGTAATATGACTGAGTAAAATACTGGTATAAAATGTCATAAAAGATAATATTTGAATACGACTACTGACTGCACTTATCTCAAATCTAACAACCCTTAAGTTTATGAGAAAGCTGTACTGTTCTTTGCCTTGATGATAATGGTAGTTATGTATCGGTACAAAATTGTTAATGAGCCGAGAAAAGACAAATGTTTTCCGTTTTTGTGCAAACGGTTATTACAGGTGAAACTTTCTCCAAATAGAAGGGCTTTACCGGAAATAAAAAAAAACATATTATGTACCTTTCTTCTAACATAGTTATATAATATTCACCTGTGTTCACGCTAAGTGGTTGGTCCGAGCTAAAACAACAATAACAACAACCGTAATAAAAAGAATACGCCTTTAAAAAGGTTAGCAAAATGCTCAAGCCAATCTAAGTTTTTTTTCGCAACCTTGTGTCGTAACATTTGAGATATATTCAAATTTTTTTTTTTTATTGAATCCTGCCAAGCGAATGAAGAAGCACACATTTTAATCCAATCAGTATTTTGCCTAACATGATAACTGGATGAAGTATGATGAAGTAGAAACAAAAAATACATGACAGTAACGACAATCTGTTGTTACCAAAATTCAAAATATTATCACAATAAGAAGTAGTAATAAATAATCATATTAAATTCTTCGTTGTGCCTTACCAGCTGATGCTGTTTACTAATAAGGAAGATATATTAAATTCTAATATTTTAAAAAATGATTACAAAAGTTCAAATGAAGATTTTATAAAACGCATAGTAGAAAATTTAAATACTGTTAAGCTAAGTCGATAGATTTTAATTTAAACAATACATTTTTTTATAACCTGTTTGATAAAATAGTTTTGAAGGAAAATTAACAGAAAGTAATTTAAAAAGAAGCAATTCTAGAAAATCAGTAATTATATTAAGACAGAAACTTTTTATAGGTAAGTTGAATAAATTTAATTAAATCATGAAAAACTACGTTTAACTTTAAATATATTTTTTAATATAATATAATTTTATTACTTTTTATAATTTGACTTTATATTGCTTCATACTGGTGATCGATGTCTTTTTATTAATGAAACATAAATCTTTGGAGTATTTATACTCATGTTTAAAAATAAATTTAATGAATGAACAATTTAAAAAACAATTAAACTTTATTTAAAATTAAACAAGTCTAATAATTAAAAAATGTTTTATTTTTATAAAAAATAATAATTTTAGCTGAAAACAACTATGTAAAACAAAATTCTTAAAAAAGTGGTTTAAAAGTTCTTGTAAAGACTTTAGGAGTTACACATTTTACAAGAACTTCTAAGACGTTAAAATTACACCTACAGTGTAGTTGTAATTAATGATGATTTAATATTATACAAGAAGGTAAATTCTTTAAAAATTCTTCACTTTGTATAATTAAAGAGAGCACTTTTTCGACACACGATTTGCTCTATATCAATTAAAGCGATAGATAACTGACGAATACCAATGAAAATGAGAGTATTGCTTCTATAAGTATTTACCATGTGTAGTTGAGTTAAATTTAGGACAATTAATTCCATGAATTACTTGGTCAATTAGCTAATTAATATAATGTACTAATTATGCTTTATTAAAAAATACTTAGTTGGTATATGATTATTTTCTATTTTCAATTATAATATCAATACACTCACTCACTTTTTGTACAATATATAACATATTTATTAAATTAAAATATATTTCTAAATATTTTACTGAAACCACTATAAAAAGGAAACATTACTACAAGTCTTATCCCGATACCAAAATGTAACTTATTTCTTAAAAGCAAAAAGTACACATACGAGTATGGTGATTTAAATAATAATATTATATTACATATTTTTTATTGTTGTATTATACAAGTAAATAGGTGTAAAATGATATGTAAGACGTTACTTTAAGGTTCTAAATATCTCACCAGTATTTTTTTGATACTCTACGCATACTTTTTTCACAAATCTCATATTTTAATCTTAATAATATTTATCTTAATAATACTTCTTTTACAACAGACATGTTTGTAGATAATCTATGTATTTTCTCGTACTCATTTGTATCATTCTTCTGCATCTTTTTTGTCAAATCATAAAAAGTTTGTAGTTCTTTTAACGCACTTTAAAAATAAGTGCCGTTTCTTTTCTAAATAATCGCTTTTATATTTTAGAACAAAAGTTTTCCTCTAGCTGGAGCACCGCCCACTGTTGACGCATAAATGGACTGAGTGAACATTTTCCAAACAAATATTTTTAAAGTAAACTGCTTATAAATGTTTGCAAGATATACAAAGTGTTGACCCAGTAAGATCAATATTATAACATACTTTTCAAGTGGAACCAATAATTTAAGTAAGGAGTTTTCCGCTTTTTGACTTATGTCTCTTACATTTCTTTACAGCCTGATATATTATTCATTGTAAAATTGTACCAATAGGTGGATAAAAAGAGAAATAAAATGTCAGCTTAACTGTATTTTTGACTGCCTCGCTATCTTATGTTAAATTTAAAAAGTATGTAAATAAAATCATGTTGGATCAATTTTGCCAGTTACCACAGTTACAACGAATACGTCAATCGTAGCAACAAAATATTTGAAAATAATGTCTAAAGTACACACTATTTTGATTTACAGAATATTATTGTTATTTGTAGTGAAACTTTGACGTGTCAACTAGACATGATTACATTTTCAGTTAAACTATATAGTGTAACTTTAACATTCTACTTTATTCAAACTATTACGTTTAATAATAAAAGAAATATTCAATTTGAGTTTTTGAAAGATTGACAACTTAATATTTATTACGCAGCTATATGGTTAAAATTACAGTTGTAGTAAGTAATCATAAAACTCAGCAAAAGTTCAATTTGTATAGATGACCATAATAACCTACAATTGCGAAACCATATCAGTTATAAAATGAATAAAAATAATCATAAAATCGTTTCGCACCTTTACCCTTATAACCATACAAAATAACCAATTAATTTAAAAATCACAATAATAATCACTTGTATTTAAAACATGATATTGTTCTAGTTTACATTGTTGTAAGGATTGTGTAAATAATGTTCATGGATCATTTTTTTTTTTATTGAAAAAATAAATAAAAGAATAATAAGAAAGTTATATTTTTAATAAGAGCTATGTTTATTAAACAAATTCACGAAATAAATTGAGTTATTTAAATAAATTTAATATGTTTTGATTATTTTCAAATTCTTAGCATATGAATATTGTTTTATTAATAAAAAAATCTGTAATAATATAAATTATAAAACTCATATAAAACCCTTTTACATCTGTAATATCAATTTGTAAGTAGTCAGTAAATAAATTTCTTTAAAAACAACGCGAAACTTACATTATTTACACCCAAGAAGTTGTAAGCATGTTTAATGTCATCAAAAACTACAGTTTGAAATGAATACAACTTTAATCTGATGTATATCTCATTAAGTACCTAACAAACTCTTGTAGTACATATAAACGATTGAAGTCACAGATGACAGACTTTATTAGTTTTAGTTTCATCATATAACAACCGCATTTCACAAAGATTTTCAACTTGTTGTAAAAACTAATCCCAAATATTTGATTAAGTACAATTAATTTCAGTTGTTGTAACTTAATTCATTACTATACATTATTGATTTTTTATTACAACAATAAAATGAAATTATTTTAGAATTTTGAGTTCATACAACAAGTTGATTGAATTACTTTTTTTGTGTAATTAAAGAAGGCTTTTCTGTGTTTAAATATATCAAACATACATTTATGACATATTCAATTAACATTAATAATCGTTTTATGTATCGTTTTGAAGCTTGTCAGCTTTGTTAATAATGTAATGGTATGTGACTTTATTTATATGATATGAAAACAAATTTTACTGTTGTGAAACACAATAGTTTATGCCATTTCAATTAATTCTTAATTCATATGATTGTACTTTAAAGAAATATTTGTTATCTTATTTTATTCTTCAAGAACTTAATTTTCACAAGGGAAGTTTATTCGAGTAGTTAATAAACTCAAAACTACTCACGCTAAGGTAAAATATGACCAGACGGAGTTATTTAATCCCTTTTTCTTGCACGGCAGTTGAAGACACCGAAATCACTTAGCCACAAAACTGAAAAGATTTTTCAACTAAAACTGTTAAAAAGTACTTTTACATTAACCTTAAATGGTTACACTAAAATCTTTTATATTATTATCCAATGCGGTTTTACGCGAACCCATAAAATATATTTGCCGTATACGTATAAATAGGCTGACGAGTTAACCGGCGATAGTAATCGAAACACTTTACAGTGACTGTCACGGATACGGCATATAATCGCACTAAAGGAAAGTCAGTGTTAACATTCAACCCTCTCGGCCGGTGGATGTTTACCGCCAGGTTTCGCCTGTGATGTCCGCGTGATGGTACCCCAATTATTGAAGTCAACACCGTAACCTTTGACTGCTTGCCCTTGTCCAAATCAATCTCATTTTTCCTTCATGTTCATACTATCTTATACAGGGTAATCAATGTTACGCAAGGCACTAATTTTTTAATAAACTGTTGAACATTTCCAAGAGAAATATTATTTGGTTCAAAAAATTCTATAATGTCTTGCAGTCAAATGTTATTTTTTCGTCCCTTCAATTATAAAAAACTTTTAACATTCATTTTATTTTTATAACAATCCTTTTTTTGACTTGATAATACAATAAACAAAAAAAAAAAAGTACAAACTGTTCTGTTCTTATAAAAAATTTTTTCAGTCATTTTTTTGTTACTACATATTAAATTTTATTAATTTGAAATCAATCTATCAATGATATTAGATTGTTAAAAATATCAAAAGTCTTTGTTCATACATTTCGTCTCGTAATCCAGCTTCTTTGAATAAGACTTATACCTCAGATAAGATATCCACATGATGGATTATTATAATCCCACTTTTGGTAATCTTGTATTTAATAATTTATGTCTAATAATAATCGTATATTCTTATATGCAACATAGTTTTAGTATTGTACATTTTCGGTCACCAGTGTGAACAATTTTTATCGATAACTGTCATAGAAATTAATTATGGTTTATTAAAACAGATTATAACTGTTTCCGCTATTAAAAAAAGCATACTAATTACAGATTTTTACATTAATTCCAAATTTTTAACTAATCTTGAAACGCAAAATAGTTGATCAAATAAAAAAAATAAGACAACAAAAATGTTTATAACATTTTTAGTTAAAATTAAAAAAATAATGTTATAGTTTTTTTTATTCCTGATGGAATTAAAAAAAATATTTACTTCATGATACTATAGAGTATAAATAATTTGCATATTACTTGGGTTTATCCGATTTGAATATAAAAAAATCAAAATAAGCAACAAACTTATGTAATCATTGTCAATGTTATCTGAAAATAATGAAAAATTCTTTTTTGATAATGTAAAATTTACATTTGGAAGATTTACTACGTATATGCAATGCGTACAAAATCAGTACAACACATTCTAGATTGAGCTTATAATTTTAGTCATAATTCTATTCATCTCGAATAAGTTAATTATGTCTATACCATTTATATTTTATATAAATATTCATCTTTAATAATTAATTATATATGATCCCTTAAATTTGGTTAGTTATTGATTTCAATAGCGTAGTTGACAAATACAATATAATAGTGTTCATATACTTCAATTATGCTACAGCTCGTTATACTCCAGCTAACAACTGATTGAAATTCGATTTTTTTATTGACAATGTAGACATTTAAACAAATATAGTTGTATTTGTAATTTAAACAATTCAGCTATGTAGATATAAGTCGTGAGTTTTATTACATTTCATTACTTGGTGCAATATGTTACCCAAGGCCAAGAGGAAACCTTTTCGAATTTTCATAAGTTCTGTTTTATTTCTATAATATAAATACTATAGCAAAAATGTAATCATAAGATATTTGAATAAATTTACAGTCAGTTAAATTAAATAATATAACAACACAACAATTAAATTTTTCAATAGTTTAAACAAGTAAGTTTCAAAAATATTATTATTTTTGAAGGTTGACAAATATCACTTTTCAAAAATTATTTAATGATCAAACTGAAATATTAATCCAAGTTTCGATGTGAAAATTTGTCTAAAAATTAGATCTTAATATTTTAGGTTTTGTTCAGATTGTTTCCTATGAAATTTCAAATAGTTTGCCAAATAATCTGTTCATACTTAAAATGTTGAAATAATATTAAAACAATTGATTTAAGATGAAATTTCAGCGTTATAGTCTGGGAAATATCTGATTATACCTGGATTGGAACTATGCAGTATTGAATTCAGAATTTTTTTTTGATTTTCAATATAAAAAAATGAATTTTAAGTTATGTTTATGTAACTAAACACTATCTTTACACTATTTGTATATTAAATATTTTCAAATAACAATTTATATTATTAGAATATAAATTAATGAAGGAGTTAAATATATGAGAAGTTATTGTTCATTCAGTGACAATGCTCCACTTGTTATAAAACATAATTTCTATAATTAAATATTTTAAATTATTATAATCAATTATTGATTATAATGTTTGAAATAATAGAGTGATACTTAACGAAGTGAAAATATATTGTGGTCTACACAAAGTACACAGTTCAAATATTATTAAATCATTCAACTACTAAATGAAAAAAAAAAGAATTTAATCTAATAATCAAGTTAAGTCACGTTCTTGTAAAATTCAACATAAAGGATTGAATACTTTTTTTGGCCACTACAAAAGAAGATTTAAGACCAAGAGTTCATGGCTGATATGGTTGAATAGAATTAGAGTGTTTTTTAGTAATATAACTTGTTGTGTGTAAAAATTATTTAACTTGAACATCATATTTTTTAAATTGTATAATTAATTATACTATTTTATTTTCTATTCATAGTTTAGAATCTAAGCTGTTGACAAAAAAATAATAAGTATAACTCTGCTGTAAATAAAGGGGGTTTAGGAAAATATAAAAAATTTTCACGACTCATACAGGACCTAAAAATAAAAACCGTTTTTATTGAAAATCAGATAAAGAGAACTCCATAGTAATATAAAAAATATATATTATTTCAATTAAGTATCAAAAATTATTCAAGTGGGTCCCTATAAAAAAATTAATAACCATTCAACACAAAAAGCTACAAACTTTATCAATAGTTCAAAATTAATAATTAAAAAAACTTTAGGTTTGTTATTAAAATTTTTTAAAAAAAAAAAGGAATGTGAGCAATTAATACACCTACTAGTTTAGAGAAGAAACAAATAGTTATTAGGTTAATAATTTTATATTAAACGGAAACTTCGAAAGGGGCTAGCTAGAATTTTTTTTAATTTACAAAACTTTATTTGGTACTATTTCCAAAAGAGATTGGACCTTATTTTTTTTAATTTATAGAAAAGTATACTATTAACTTTTAAAAAAGAGTTACAAAAATGTACTAGGTTCTGTGTTTATTATTATTATTATTTGTGACTGTTAACGATTTTTTTAGCTCTCACTTGACCGATATAATTAAATGATACATTTAAAGATCACAAATGATATCTAGTTTAATACATTACTCTCAAAAATTGAAAAAAAATTTCTTCGTTCTCCATAAATGTATGAAATTACTAAAAAAATTACGAATTTTTAAATCGTTAAATTAAGGATCAATAGAATTTTTTTATAAATATACTTGTAAAAAAAAGTATAGAACACACTTTATAAATGTCACTTTCATCGACTTACTAATAATTTCCGCTTATACAAGAGTTTATCAAAAATTGTAACGCACGTATAAAAAGTAGAACTTCTTAAACTTAACTTTTGTTAATGTTCTAAAAATCTCGCATAATTTAAACTTATAATGAATAAAAATTTATATAATATATAATAAGTTAAAAAAATAAATTACAATGATGACTAGTCTTTAATAAGTAAGCTGTCCAAAATAAATGAAAAATGTTAATTTGTGTAAAAAATCACTGTTTTTCTATGTTATGATTTTTTACTTCTATTAAATAGAAATTTTGTTTTATCAAGTGACTATACTTTAGGGAGAGCAGTATAGACATATAGACAGTTACAATTTAGTACTCCCATTTATAAAAATTAGCCTCTCTCAAAAGAAGAAAAAATAAGATTGAAGTATTGTCAATTATAAATATTTTTAGGGACGATTTTTGCATATTTTAATTAGCATACTATAAGAAAATGATCCTCCCCTTTCTTTTCCGTATGTTCTTGCTATCATTGTATTATAATAAATTATTTTTAAGTAATAAAAGTTAGAATAATTAAAATTTCTTTAAAATCAGTAGCATCGAAGCGTTTTATGATTGTAATTTTAATCTAACAGTTCCCTTTATGTCGGGTCCTCATCGTGCCATGACACGACTGTACTGAGTTTTTTTTTTTACAAGAATTTAACTATTTTTTCACAAAGTTCCTAATTTTCTTTTATTTTTATTCAGAATTCAAATATTATTTTTTTTTTTAAGAAGAAAATTTAAATAAGATACTCAGTATATAAGGTCAAGATATTTGAAATTATCACACAGTTTTCAAATAAATATGTTTCATGATCTGGAGCATTATAAGAACTTTAACAAAACAGAGCACCTTAGGCCCCTTGATCAGCTTTCTTTTGGATTTTAAAAATTACTAAGAATAAAAACCTGAAATGGACAACAATTACAATTTTATTTTTTATGTATTTAAACTACTGAAATAAATTGTTTAAGAAGTTTCAAAAAGACATATAAATCTTACTGCTATTACTGAACATTTATATAGAAATTATACCATGACCAATCGTATAATGATACAATAGTGTTTGATTCAATTAGAATAATTTTTTAATAATGTTTCATTAAATAATTAATTCAAAATTAATTTTGGTTAATTATGTGATCAGTGCACTCATACTAATGTTATTTTAATATTTTATTTGTTGAATGAATGTTTGTTTTATTTAGAAACTTAAACAATTTATAGCACAATTATTATTGAAATGAATGACAGCTTTTCCGCTTATTTTAAACTTTTTAGTAGGAAAATTACTATTTGTCTTAATTCAAGTGATGAACAGTTACTTAAGACTTATTTATATCTTACTAACTTTATCGTCTATAAGATAACACAAAAAATAGTTATACTTAAAGGCAGTATTTAATTTTTAACGTTAACTTTGTTTTTGTACTTCTACTTTTGAATTTCGCATGAAGATCTGCAGAGACATTTGGCAAGGAACATTATGTGACCCATTATGTATATCCACGACGCCAAATAGTTGGTTAGCC